CCCCCTCTCTCGCGCAACCCCCCCACCCAGCGGAGAGCGGACATCGCTCGATCTGCTGTTGCTGTTGTTCAACAATACGTCCCCGCCTGCTGCTGGTTGTTCACCAGCAGCCATCCTGAAACTCCCCACGCTCCCTTTCTCGAGTCCGCCTCCGTCCCGCTCGGGGTCGAAGCCAGCGCCGCCAGATCTGGACCCCGATCCCCATTGCCAACACCCCCCACCACCTTCCGCAGACTGTTTCGCGCCGCCAACCTCTGCCCCGCCCCTCTTGTTCAGAATGCCATCAAGAGCTTTACCGAAACCACAACGGGTCGACTCATCATCCACATGGACAAACTGCGCCGCCGGCGGCATGGCCTCCTCTGCGGTCCCCGCTGCTGCTGCTCCTGCTGCTCCGGCTGGTCCCCCTGCGTCTAAGTCACTCGCTCCAGACTCCACGTGGCGCTCTCCGCCGGCCTCCCAACGCGACAACCCGCCCCCGCTTCTCCAAGACGACCCGCCCTGATTATCATCGTCCCACAAACCTTTGCCCCCCCAACCTCCTACCCCCTTCCCTACCCCTCGCTCCTTCGTCTCATTTCCCCCTCCTACCCCCCCTCCCCCTCCCGCTCGACCAAGTATTCCACTCGTCGTCGCCCCCCCACCTACCACTCTCTCTTTACCCCTCTCCCCTGCCACCACTGCTTCGTTGACAGACCTCGGTGCTGACGACGCACCCATCTTCGCGGCCTCCACGTTCATCTTCCTCCTCGCCGCTGCGGTTTCCCATTGCCTCTTGATATCCTCCTGTGAGGCTCCAAACACAGCCGATGAAGAGGAGCTACTCGGCCCATCGTCATCGCCGCTCTCGCTTTCCTCCTCCTCGTAGCCAGACACACTTTCAGCCGCCGCCTCGTCTGACTCCGCCACGTCATCATCAGTCGATAACCTTTCCTCCCAGTCACGTAAGACGGCGGTGGCTATTCCAACTTCTGTCCCTCCACTCTCGTCGCTGGTTTCCAAGTCACTCTGCCCGAACCCAAACCGCCACCCCCCTTCATTCCTAAGGCCACTGCGCAACCCCTCTCCCTCCCTCCCTCCCACCTGCCTTTTGCCTCCTCGCTCCCCAACACCGCGTCCCCATTGCTGAAACCGGGATCTCGGTCGCTGGGGTCTAAGCCGCGACGACTCCATCCCACCATCATGACCTCCTCCATTTGTCGCCGGCATCCGCAGCCTCCGGCTTCGTAACCGACCATCAAAGCTGCGCCCTGCTCGCTGCCCCCCATTCCTCACCAACCCCTTTCCCGGTAAGATGACAAACCCTTCTCCCCCCAGGCGGCGGGTGGCAGCTGCGGCTACTCCCGAGGCGCGCCCCGCGGCTCCCCCACCCCTTCGCACCTCTCCAACAAACACGCAGTCCGATTCACACCCATCTTCCGCTTCCCCTCCTCTCCCTCGTCCTCCTCTTCCTCCTCCTACCTCTCTGTGCGGGTCTTTCTTCGTCGATCCCCTGACCGACTTCGATGACCCTATCACATCAGTCCCCTCGGGAGTTGCTGCCGCTGTTGATGGCATCCCATAGCGAAAACCGTTGGGGGGCGTCGCCGCCGCCGCCGCCGTCCCCCGTCCCCCCGCACCTCCTCCGCCGGGACCACCACTCGATCCCGAACCTAATCCCGGACCTCCTCCCGAACCTAAACCGCGACCTGATGCCGAACCTGGACCTAATCCCGACCCTATCATCCCATCGACAAGGTCTGTCGCCAAATCCGGATAAGCAGCAGTCCCCACGTCCCCGGCAAGAGGCCGCGTTCCCCCCACGAACCCATTCAATCCCCCCCCTCCTCCTAGCGCGCCTTTACCTCTCCCGCAAGCCCCCCTATTTAACTGTCCAAAAAACCTTGTTCCCCCTTCCGTTCCAATAGTAGCCCCCCCCTTGCCAAACCCCCCTCCCCCCCATCTGGACTGACCCCGGCCTCCTCCATCGCATTCCACACCGGCTCCGACACTGCAGCTCCCCGCAGCTGCTGCTGCTGCTGCTGCTGCTCCTGCTGCTTCTTCTGCTGCTGCCGCTGCTGCTGCTGCTAGCCCCATTCCCCCCAGATCTCCGACCAGTCCACCATTTCCCTCCTCCCCTTTCTCCGCTCGCCTACCCTCGCTTCCTCTTCCCAATCTCGCCGCCGCCGCCGCTTCGCTACCGTTATCATTCCCACCTTTTCCTCTCACAAAAACGAAGTCGTCCACGTCATCAAGATCATCTACGAAGAACGGATCCGCCACCTGCGCTCTCCTGCGTCCCACGCTTCGCGCGGTTTTCTTGGCGCCATTTTCATTATCTTCCTCGTTTCCACTGCTGCTCTCTGTATCGCTAATGACCACCTTCTTCCCCCGCGCAGCCCGTGTACCTCCTCCCGCCAAATCAGTAGCTCGGACATGTCCTCCCTCTCCCTCTTCATCATCAAGAACGACCACCGGCGCAGCTCCTCCATTTCCAACCGCCGCCGCACCCTGAGCGCCTCTCCCCGCCTTCCCGCCAACACCAATCCGAATCCCCCTCGCGCCGCCCTGCTCCTTCCCCTTTCCTCGCGGAACAGCCAGGGGCCGAAAAGCTCTGCTGCTTCGAGCGGCGGCGAGCGCCTCCACCAGCCCTCCACCCCCCCCCACTCCCCCTCCGCCCAACCCCCTTGTCCCCAGCGACACAGACACCGGTACCTGGCAATCGCGCGCCCTATTGATAGATATCCCTCCCCCGCCTCTTCCGCTGCCATATGTTCCGCCGCCTCCTCCATCCCCCGAAGCCGCACGTGTCGCGATCCCGCAGGCTCCCCAGGCTGGAACAGACCGGCAAACCACCTCCTCCACTTCCGCCTCCTTCGCCCCCCTAGTCCCCCCTTCGAGCGCAATCTTCCTCCTCTTAGACCTCCATAGTCCATCCTCCTCCCTAGCTGCCACGTCATCATTTCCATCCCGTTCGAGCCCCCCCGCAGTACACTCCTCCGTCACCGGCTGTTTCTGCCTCCCACCAGCCTTCCTGCCTGCCATGCTGCTCTCCTGCCCCCCCTCCTCCCCCCCTGCTTTGTCCATCGTTCCATTTCCGTTTATCTCTGCGCGCGCTTCTGCGCTGCTCGCGCCAACCACGGCTCCTTCAGCCTCACCATCTATCCCTCCTCCTCCCACTCCCAGTCGCTCTTGCTGTATGCGCGTCCGCTTCTGCCGTTGCCCATGTCTCACCTCCACTCCGACCCCGACCGACAATCCTCCTCCTGCTCCTTCCTCTGCTTCTCCATTCTTCTCCCTGCACCCCTTGTTCGTGCGTCCTTCGTCCTTCTCCCCCCCCCCGGCCCCCCCACTCCCACTGCAACTCTCGCCTCCGGGATTACCTTTGTCCTCGATCTTCACCGTCACGCTTCGCCACGTGTCACCGTCTCCGCTCCCTGCGAGATTCGAAAAGATGTTTGATGTGAAGTCCCGCACGCGCAGGAACGTCGCGCTCAACATCCCCCCGCCCGATTTCCCCATCATCCTCACAAGAGGACCACCTCCCTCCTCCTACCCGATGCTGCCACTCCCTCTCTCTCCCCTCTCTCACCCTTTGTCACTTGCAGATAGCAACCAAATAATCCGAGACGCCGCCCAATCCTCCTGCTTTCGATACCCGGAGTCCTGGCTTTTCCCGAAAGGCATAACTGTTTGGAACCCAAATGCAACTTCCTTCTCTCTCCTCTCCTCTTCCTCCTCCCTTTCTTCCACCCACTCCTCCACCCACTCCTCCACGCAATCCTCTTCCCTCTCCTCCCTCTAGTCCTCTCTTTCCTCCTCTCCTCCCTCGCCCAGCCGACTCTCTGATTACATCATCGTCCCCTTCATCCTCACTGCCGTTAACCATCATCGGACGCCACCGAACGCTTTCCATTGCACTGCCATTGCGCGCCAAATTAATCGAGTCGATTCATTACTCCTTGGGGGCAGCAATCAGTCAATGTCCGCTCATCAGGCAGCAGTATACATTGATCGCGCGCGCACCGATACTCGACGGACAAACCTGCCACGCTTTCCCTTCAGCAATAACTATCAGCCCCCCCGCCCTCAAGCAGATGTCAACGACAAGGCCGCCGTGTCCGTATATTGCTGACACGTGGCATCGGAAACAAGGAACACGTGGTGAAAACCTCTCAGAAGATAACCAACAAATGGCAGAACCCTCCCCTTTGATGATGATGACAGCGTCGATGTGATTATGAAGACGATGACGAAGCAAACGATGATGCCAACGACAATGATAACGACGATTGCTGATGATAGTGATGATGGAGATGATGACGATGATGATGATGATGATGGTCAGGGGGTTGCCCAGCCCAATTGAAAAAGGCAGAAGGCCGCCTGTCCCCTCCTACAAAAATGCCCTCGATATCCCGAGGGAAAGGTGGGTCTTCCTCCACGTCATCTGCAATTTACCAGCCAACAATGCTTATAACCCATACAGGTGGGAAGTTTCGCCCCCACAGGCCTCAACCCCCAAAACCACAACTCCTCAGGGAAGAGAGGGGTAGCAAAAAACCAACTTGGCGGTCAAAGGATATCCCCTTAGGGCACGCGCACATCACGACTTTCTTACTTATTTATGGACGTGATTGGGGTCAGATACATCCAGCTCCAACCGTAAATGCGTTCAAATACATTTAAGATAGAGCTACGCCCTTCTTCTCACAGAATCACCGACAAAGATGGGCGTACAAGAAGAGGGAACGGAGAAAGCACAGACCACGAGACACAGCGGATCGAATCCCCACAAAGACAAGCACCGCGAGACTGAGAGCAAGATGTATGTTTTTTTTTTTTTTTTTGTTTTTTTTTTTTTTTTTTTTTTTTAAGATGGATGAAATTTGCTGACGGATAGTAAGAACGGACAAGCAACAGGAGAGCAACCACTACCGGTAAAGAGGCCAGTTACAATGTATCTGCATACACTTGATACATGTTGCCTGTCCTCCTATATACTACCTCTCTACCTCTCTTCCACTGATAACAGGAGAGAATTTCTCCCTTCGTCATTGCCCCTGACATGAGTATTCTCTTTCCGCCATTGCCCCTGAAGCCAACTTCAATTCCTACCCCGGGTTGTTAACTGAGTGATCAACGCCTGCATTGCACACATGCGGACCCGCAAGTCAGGCGTCCAAACCATCTTGGACGCGAATCTAAAAAAGATAAATGACACAATGTCATTCCTCTCCTTGACCCCGACCCAATTTTTTTTTCCTACTCCCTCTGTCTCCTCCCCGAAGGACAACCCGCTGAACCTTGGGCACACAATCTCCTTACCGAGACCGTTCGGCTTCACCGCCGCCTCCTCCTACTTTAGTCCTCCTCCTCCTCTTTCTACTTCTTGCGGAATGCACAAGCCAGAAGCCAGAAGCCAGAAGCCAGAAGCCAAGCAACTACAAGTGTTAGCAGGAGGCAGATGAGAGAGAAGGGAGAGAGAAAAAAGACGCAGGAGGAGAAGATGGAGGGCGGAGGCGGGGGGGTGGTGAAACGGGAGGGAGAAACGGAGGTAGGTCGACGAGAGGATGGTGAACGATGCCAGAAGCCAAGCAACTACAAGTGTTAGCAGGCAGATGAAAGAGAAGAGAGAGAGAGAAAAAGGACGCAGGAGGAGAAGAT